GCCGCCCGCAGCGACTCGGAGGCTTTGTTAGTCTGTTAGTTATCTCCGTGGTGAGAAAGGGCTTGGAAGTGCAAAGCCAGAAAGGCATTTAACCCAACGCTCGATCTCGTCCTTTTTCGTAGGACTGACAAACAAGCGAGGATAAATCCAACGCGACTCCGTGCCACTGCTAGGATTGCCTAACTGCACCGATGCAGACAAACAGTCAGCGCTGGCAGGGACCAACACGGTAGGTAGTAAGACTGTCTTTGTCCCGGCGTCAACGATCTGTTCCGACACTTCCGAACTCTCATTGGTTCATCCACTCCATGTCTTCTTAAAACAAAACCCGTGTTATGATGCCAGTTGTTGCGAAGGAAACTTCTGGAGACGAGCTTTCAGCTTCGGGAAACACACCGGCACTTGCGAGTAAGAAGCCCATCTGGGAAATCGGAAGACCATGCCTGCTCCTCCACTGTGGGAGCCCGCTGGAAGATGCGACATGGGAGACGCCGCGAGTCCGCATCAAGCGAACCCCGGCAACTCTTCAAGCCATGCTGCCGTCGTGGGTCAAAGCTGTGTGTCAGTGCTACCTTGGAAAAGATCCGCTGCTACTTCGGCTCATGACAGACTCATGCACTCGACCCTGGAACCCTCTGCTTTTTGCCGCTTCGCATAGGTCTGGTTCCAGGCCAAGGTCAGACTTTTGCAGATTGAGAGTCTTAAGGCACCACCGCCCAAGCTCTCGCTACCACCACATTGCAGGAGGCTGCGACACGAAGGCTTGACGTGCGCATGGCACACCGAAGCACTAGCACCAGGACGCATCGGACAACACAGAGGATTCCCTCGAACTGCCATTGATCTCGGCCATGTCGATGCCTGGTCGTCAGAAGCCGATTACAGCTTCTTCCTCTTCCACGATGCTACAGGAGTGATGTCCTCTTTCCTTCATCGCACTGAGTTGAGGTGGGCAGCAGGCACTCATGGATTCTCGGATGGCCGTATTTTGCAGCACCCGAGATTCCATGATTGCTCACCAATGCAGCTCACTGCAGGCAGCATGCCTGGCCTAAACAAAGCCCACAGCACAGACCCTCAGCATGGCAGCACCTGTCCCCTTTGCCGTTTCCAGCACTGCGAGGCAACGGGCTTAGTGCTGTTCATGAAGCAGCTATCCAGACCGGGCAAAATGCATGGAGACACTTGATCTTCCACAACCGTCTCATGCACAAGCTGTGCCGATGGACGCCTCGGACCCAAACAGCTGAACCGGACTTCACTGTTACCGCTGCTTGGCCTACCCAGCTGCAGGAACATGCAGCCGCCCTAGAACTGAGCTGGAGCCTTTTAGGACGCTCGTTTGCGAAGGAAGCACGCCTAAATCTCGTCAAAGGTCGTTGTGCAAGACAGGTGAAACTGCACAGGAATCTGTGCGGCACTGCTCCCGATCCCAGACACCGTTGGTCTATCCGTCTATCCGTCTTCAACTGCTAAGTAGCGAGAGATTGGGCTGTGCGGGCCAGCACAAGATGTGCCGGGTCTGCAACAGGTTACTACGCTGTCCATCAAGCAGGCGTAGTTTTAACGCTGCTTGACAAAAGCATCAACACAGGCATTTAGCCTGGTCGCGAAGCTGAGGCAATACGCTCATAACGTAACGCTGAAATATTGAAAGATCTATCCTACTTTGTCCAAAGTCAACCAGTCCAGGTCTTCACCAAAGACTGAATTACATGCCTTCTCTCTTCAAGCCGTGGCTATGCCATGGCCTCGCCATCCGAGAGAGGCGTCGCGAAGAATTCAAGAGAGGAAGTTGGGGGAACGCAAGGCTATGAGTGGGAGGCATCCGCGCACGACTTCAAAGCCAGATCCCTCCGAGGCATTGACCGTGCTAAGGTTTGGCCTGCCCAAAAGCAAACTGAGCACCCTGAGACGGAACACCTAAAAGCCATGCCTTCGCCTTGGGATCGGCTGCAGGCGCAGCCTCGCAACCAAGCTGAATCTCACAATCAAAGGTGCCGACATCCAACGAACGGCCTTAGCCTTCGGATCCCCAGCCGGTGCGGCCTTTCCACGCGCAAGACTTCTGCAATCGCGCTCCATCAAGACTCAAGGCAGGCAACTACTTGGCTTTGGGATGCCTTCGCCTTGGGCTCAACAGCAGATGCCTGACTACATGTGAAGCGGAACCCGTCCGATTCAATTGGAAAGCCATGACAAGTCAGGCCTTCGCCTTTGGATGCGCAGCCTGCGCAGCTGCAGGCGCAGCCTCTTCTCGCACACGTTGTACGCTCGACAAAAAGCCCATACGGCGCTTCTCACATCCGTCGCACGTGACACATCTCCGACAGCCTTCGCCTTGGGATCTGCGGGCTGCGGAGCCTCACCGAAAGCTCAGCCCACGCCGTGGGTCGTCTCTGACAGGCCTTGGCCTTCGGAGCAGCCGGCGTCGCTGCCGGCGTCGCTGCCGGCGCAGATTCCTCAGAAGCTGAAAACGAAAGCCGCGGCCACAGAAACGGGCTTTTTTTGGGGCTCCGGCGACTGCAGACCCATAGACGGTGGGCGGCGCTCCGTGCGGCTTGCCCTTTGCCTTGGCCTTTGGCTTCGGCAAAGACCGGAGGAAGGACTCCGGTGGTGAAGCTGCGGTCTCTTTCAGGGGGTGTGGCGGGTCAGCCTCCACCGTTGCCTTCAGAGCACGGAAAAACGCACCCTTGCCCGTCGTGACCACTTCCAAATCGCCAGCGTACTCGAGTATGGCTTCACCTAGAAGGCATCCAACCACTTCTGGATCGTTCTCAAAAACTCCGCAGCCGACATCGGGGCACACCAGCACTGAAGCTTTCAACTTCTGTAGGCCAGCCAGGCACGCTCTAAATTTGTCTTTGACCTGGTGGCAGTACTCCGCGAAGTCATGGGGGGCATCCAAGGGACTGTCGGCCACACGTGAGTTCATGTTGAACATCGCAATGCTACACACGCCTGCAAGTGATATGGGTTTCTCCTGGAATGCATAACCTCGAGCACTGGTGTCCCGGAAGATCTGCACCTGTGGGCTCAGAATGCAGGAAGTGACCGGGATGTGCTGGTGGAGATGCCCATGGGCGTGGCTTGAGGATCGCTTGTCCTGCCACTGAACCTTTTGCAATGATGGCAACAGGGTCGACGTAGTGCACATTGCCTCTTCCAGGGCGTGCCTACCCCCACTCATTACACCGCCACCAACTTGGTAGGCAGAGGCTGCGTTCACGGCCACGGTCGCCTTGCCGGATGCTTGCATCTTCATGGCGACCTCCATGACGGTCAGGTCATCATGCCTCAGGGATTTGATGCCTCGGGCGGGCTTGGCGGCCAAGAATGCCGTTGCATCGATGACCTCTGTGCTTTGTGCCGTAGCCCTGGAATCCAACGGGACGGCTTCGCCAGAGGGCAAAGTGTAGCCACCCCCGGCCAAAGCATGAGCCGTGTTGATGAAGCACCCAAGCCTCTCGAGACGGTCGCTCGTGCTGTTCTTATTCCGGATCCAGTCAAAGTTTCCGTACTTCTTCGGGACGCTGCCCATGGTCTCAGTCAGCTTTATCTTGTCTCCCGCTAGAAGCGCCACCTTGCTTGCAAGTGAAGCCTCGTAGAGCTTGTACTCGGTCTTCTTGAAAATACAGACTTCGATGGAAGAGTTCCTAAGCACGTCCTGCTGAGCTGTAGGCATCATGCCAAAGGCCAAGGAGATAGCACTCCACGTGATCTCCGCCATGTACCGATCCAACCTCGGCTATCTGCGCTTCTCATGTCATGGCAACACGAAGCAGCTTCAACTAAGTGGCTTCCGGTTGAGCAAGAAGATTCCAGATGACACGGGCAGCAACCGCAGCACCTGCGCAAACATCAACCTGCATAAGCGATACGCAGCTCTTCAACGCAATGGCAGGCCTGATTGGTTGGCCTGCCGCTGGCTGCAGGCCCTTCGAAGACGCGGCAGAACTCGTCGAACACGTTGACATACGTTCCTAGGTTGACACAAATTGCTAGCTGCTAGATGCTTCCTGCTGTCACAGCTTTGGCTGCAATTTACTCACTTTATCTCCGTGTGTTCCAGCTGCCATTCAAAAAAGCATAACCAAGCGGCGGGACAAGTCATGGAGGGCGGATTGAAGATCCCGGATTTTGGGCCCAATGACGTGCACCACATGCATTCCATCGTTGTATGCGAAGTACTTGGCACGAGTTTCCTCAGATACTACTCACTGACCAGAGCTTTCACGGATCCCCACCGCTCCGATTCAACAGACAAATCTAACATAAACAGACCAAGGTTCCGCTTCTTCCTCCTGGGGCATGGATGCAGGTCACACCATGTCTATTTTGTAGGCCCTTTCACCACACTGCCGATCACACATTGCATCCAGGCGGCGGTATGAGTGTTGAAATGTGCATGCACCTCCACTGGGAATTTGCCAGTGGTCTTCTTGATCCCGAGCCTGTTCTTCGCCCGTCAAGCATGGATAATGCAAATGTTGGAGCACTTCGGGTTTATTCTAACGGCTTTCGAGACGGGCAAGTCAAGAGAAGCAGCAATGATGCTTTCTGTTACAGTTCTCTGAAAAGCTGCCGAAGCGCCAGTCATAGATGGCACCAGCAGCACCGCCTGCTCCTTTGGCGTCACCTGTCTTTCCTATATACCTCCAGCCAGCTGGGTCCACGATCACCTTAGCTGGCGAATACACGAAACTTGCTCATTTCCACACGCTTGAGATCTGCCGCGGCACTGCAGGGATCGGCGTGAAGGGCTTCACGTCCTTCTGCCCTTCGGCAGCTCCCAACACTCCGTGGGCTTTCACCTGTTTGGCGACAGCTCCACCCACCTACACTTGGGCCCACAGCTTCGACTGAGGATCGAGCAGAAACCCTGGTCAGCAATGGATGGGTGAACGGCTTTAAAAGCGATGATTCCTTTGCAGGAAGCTTGCGGTGATTCGACACCGTGGCCCAGGCAACTGCATCTATACATAACAGAGCAGTCCTGTTCCAAGCTTTGGTTTACAGGCTCTGGCTGCGTCGCGCCAAAGACACCTACCCAGTCCAAAGTTCAAACGGGTAAGCGTAAATTGCAAAACGTATCATCCGGGCCTGGACTGGGCAGCTCAGGCAGCCCTTGAGGGAAGACAAGCTTCACCAAAGCAGCGAACTGCCCACCTAATGCCTGGGCGATTCTGGAGGCAAACGTGATGAAAAGCGAAAAGCGCACATGTGCAACCGAGCTACTGTCATGTCCTTCTCAAGCCCTTCGACTCGCTTCTTCTGGCTTTGCACGGTCGTGGACGGTGTCGCGGGCATAGTAGGCCAGAGCCGGCTCTGGAGTGTCTCTGGCTGCTTACCGGTCAATGCAGTCGAGGTCTTGCTTGCGGAGGCTTCAATCGGAGGCTGGCGCCGCAACATTTCCGGAGTGTACTCCTCCTGAAGGAAAGACCTGGCCTCCTTCTTGTACTTGTCGACTGCCTGCATCACCTTCTCCTGCTCCCCACGCGCGGCCGTGGCTTGCGAGGAGCCCCGACCTGAGAAAACAAGAGCAAACACTTTTCTGTCGAGTGTTGGGTCATGTTGGGTCTTGTGCGCTTCTCCGCCTGGGGCCAAGGGGCTTAACTCTTTCTGGTATTTGCCCGTGAACAGGTCCACCTGCGATTTTGCGAGAACAGATCATTCCTCGAGCGAAGTCGCATGTAGAAACATAGCACCTGTGTATCGAGCTGGTCTAGTCCGTGTTCCAACCTCACAAGAATGCGAGAGCAAGCGTTGTCAGGATGCTCAAAATGTCGGAGAGTGGCGCACCCACACAAAAAATGATGAAGAAATGCTCATTCGTAGCTTGTCAAAGGCATTGGCTCGTCGACCTTCCTATCCAGAAGCGAGATGTCTCTCGTGCGATCATCATACACCTGGCTCGAGCCCACAGACAGGGCTACTGGCTCCAAGGCTCAGGAAGGGAGAGCCTTAAGGGTTAAAGTATACAAAATACTTCCTGGTTTTGCGTTGCAAAAGCCGGCCTGTTTCCGATACATGACGCCCCCCACCGGCAACAGGCAGGCGACCAACACCTGGAAGGCCGAGAAGCACCGCTTACTGCTGGCACTGAGCAAGTGCTGCCGCCATCTTGGTCCAAGCCACCACACAAAGAACGATTATCACAACGATCACTGCAGAGTCATCTCCGCCAGCTTGATTTCCTGTTCAGGCTGTTCAGGGCATGGCACAACGGGGCAGTCACAGCAAAGTCTCATTTGACGGCCTCCTGCACCGGAGCTGGAAGTAGTAGTTGTGGTGGTCGTCGTAGTCGCAGCTGGCGTCGTAGTAGCAGTGGTGGCGGGGTTGTCGCTTGTGACCGTCGTGGCCACGCTTGTGACCTCACTGGGTTCGATTGAGAACAAGGCGACGGCCGAACCAAGCGCATGCAAAGTGCCAGTCCAGGTGAGCTACCGTGATGCCAACGTCCGAAACACCGGCCGTCGCGAGCCCTTGTAGCAAAGTCGTTGCCAAGACCGTATTGGAAACCGCGTCGAGTGTCGCCTCGGTGCATCTACAAGGGCACACGGCACGCGGGCCAAGAATGCACTGCGAATGCACTGCCACTGCTGCAGCCCTGCGACCTTGACAGCGGCAGCGCCGCCAGCTGGGACTTCAACATAGTAAGATATGTCGGCAGGAACCTCTGCAAAGCGCCAGGGTGTTAACATGCGTTGCAAACTGACTCCGCGCATCTCTGCCCAGTGCTGCTTCAAAGCCGTGGCTAGTCGTCTGGTTTCGAGAAATTCCAGACGTCGCCCATTGCACGCTACGGCCTGAGACGGCTTCATGGCACAGTCTCTACACGGACATTTTGACACTCACGACACCATGAGGTGCGCACAACGATGCCTCAGCTAGTAGCTGCAAATGCCAGGCAGGAATCCAACACTCATGACTTGCAAGCTTTATGCAGGCTCGGAGCTCACTTTGTCTGAAGGCACCTGTCAGCACAGAAGTACAAAAACGAAAAAGGAAGAGACAACTTCCCATTGACTGGTTGGCCGACTGACCGACTGCTGACATCAATCGACTGACCAAGGCACCATCACAAGTTAATCGTAATCGTACATGACATGTACGATGGACCTTCTTGCGGCACTGACATCCGAATGAAAGACGGTGCCTGAGCCAATTGTGCGATACTCTCCTGGAGACCAGTCTTGGCTTGATCTGTTTGGAGCTGCGTGCAGTTCTCGACCTGCGCCTGCACAGCCTCAGAGCACAAAGGCGCATGTGGGAAAGCCGAAAAACTGCTGGAAAGGAGGACCCTGGGGTCAGTCGCTGCCAGCGTCCAAGCAGCTCCGTTGACATACTCGACGCCTGGGACTGACGTGGTTGTCGTGATGCTGATTGATGTGGTCATGGACGTCGTCTGCGTGGCGCTTGTCGACGTCGCGGATGTCCCCGTACTTGTAGCGGTAGTTCCTGTTGTCATGGTCTGAGTGGAAGACATGGTGGTGGACTCTGTCTGTGTCTGGGTAAAAGATGTGGTGGCGGTCGTTGTGACTGTCTGGCTGGCAGTCGTAGATGTAGACGTGCTGGACACTGTTTGGGTGGACGTGAATGTGGACGTCATGGTTTCTGTAGTTGTCGTTGTTGTAGTTGCCACCGCATTTTGCACCAGGAAACCAAGGATGAGGCAAAGAGCACCTGCTGGCGATTTCAAGAGCTTGCATGCTGCCACTTGCCAGTTTAAGGTGGCCTCGCCCCTTCAGCCGCATGCGGCACCACGAAGAAGTGTGAAGACCTTGGCGACTGGCTCAAAGTTCGCATGCAAAAGCCGACCGGTTGCACGTGATGCCTAGCTCTGGACCTCCGCAAGGTTCCACAGTCACACTTCACCTTCACACCTGTACTACTGTACTACTTCCTTGAGCCGCCACATGTCAATTCGGCAGGGCTGACCATGTTTGCAATCCGGGAAGCTGCTTCTGCGGAAAGGCAAACAACAGGATCTTACTCTTCCCATTTTCTCACATTTTCTCACATCGCAACTACAAACGGTTCGCATCGAAGCTGGAAACGTGAAAAGCAGATGCAAGCAGTCGCTGGTCCGAGCAACCCTGCACAGGCACAAACCGCTTCAGCTGGAGCAGTCAGGAGCCTCGTAGCCGATCCAACTGGCTCCGTCAACGGCATGAAACCGACACAGGATACCGGGTCTGCCGAGCGGACATTGCGCAGGAGTGTGCTTTGAGTTGGCTTTATCATCACCTCTGTAGGTCCCCGCCGCCATGGCAGCTTGCAGACTTCTTCGCGCATGTCGTCGTCGTGATGTAGATGTCAGCTTTCAGAACTCGTTCAGGCATTCAAGAGGTGATCGACGTAGAAGTTGCGAGAAGGTTTGGGCGCGGCTTGTCATGACGCCTCCGTGAGGCACGAACACCATCAATTTCGTGCTGAGCGGTTTATTTATGCCCACTTGAGCAAAGCTGCCTGGCGTAGGCCTCGCCACCCTTTTGCTTGGACACCAGGTACTCGCCGAACGGAAGCCAAGGTCGCCGGAAAACACCCTGCTGCTTCAACCTCAACACAAAAACACACTTGACATGAGCAAGCCACCACCGCAAAAAGATGGCGCGGCTTCTTGCCAAGCATCTTATCGAAGTACCTGTCCCGGAACTCCTGAAGCACAAGGGGTTTTTCCAGCAGCTTTAGCGTGCTACCGAGGGCTCAGCGACAGCTCAGAGCGGCTCCTGCTCGGGCGTCGGGCTTCTCACCGTCAGGCCCTCCGCTGCTCGGTGGGTGTCTCGCTCGTCCATGTGGGTCTGCAATAAGGCCTCAGCCATACTTTCAGCGAGCCCACAGCAGGATCTAGAAGCCCGGCCTTGACATGGTCCGGATTGCTACATCATGCTGCGCTGTCAGCAGTTAAGCTTTGTGCTGTCTCGCGCTTCGCAGATGCCACTTTTACATCGCGGTTCAAGGCGATGAACCTGACACCGAAAGCTTGCAGTGTGCTGCTGCACTGGTTTAAACTGTAGCCTCTAGACTCTAGACTCTAGACTATCAGAAAACGAACGGAATGAGGACAAATCTTGCTTCGTGCGTCTCTCGGAAACTTGCCAATCTGGTGATGAATCCTCGCAGGCGGAATAACAGCCAAGCCAAGAGGGGGCCTGACCCCTGGGACACAAGTGCAGAAGGGAGATCGGCTTTGGCCAGGTCTGAACAAGTCGGAAGACCCGCTTCCCAAACATCTGGGACAGGTGTGGCTGGGGGCAGCTGGCAAGCTCGGGAGGGGGCCAGGCGGATTGGTGAAGTCCATTTATCGCTGGCCTTGTCTTTCGTGATACGTAAGCATGCCCTTATTCTGTGGGTCGCAACCCTTGCATGGTTGGCGTCAGAGTGGGTCAGCGCGTGAGGGCGAGAGAGATGGAGAGAGAGAGAGAGAGAGAAAAAAAAAAAGAGGCAGAGAGGGCAATGTAAGCATGCAAAGCATGCATGAGTAGAGACAGTGGGCTCCTGCAACAGGGAGAAGCTGCACCAAGATAGCAACAACAAAAACGTTAAACCCACTTCTCATGCTCTGCACCAAGATGCTGAATGATGTGCCGGCCAGCCCTGGCCAGGCGCTCTGTCAGCTGTGGGCTTGGAAACACGGGAACCGTGTACATTTCCTCCAAGACAGCGCAGGTCTGCTGCGACGAGCGCGAGCGCAGCGCAACATCCAAGGCCAGTTGATACAGCTCCTCCGGCAGCGGCTTTGGGACACTGTTCCAGAGCGTGAAGAAACGGCCGATGTCCCTCTCCCCAAGCATGCGCAGCAAATGCTCCCAGGTCTCCGCGTCAGGCTCTGCACCGAAGACAGCGTATTGCGGCAACATGTCCATAGCGAAATCAGAGAATCCACCTGCTACATAGACACCCACGATCTCATTCAACAAGCTCGTCCAGTCAAGCTTGTCTGAATATGCCTCGCGAGCAGCAGAGACCACCCCCCATGCATGGCGCAGATTTTGCAGCCTTTCCACATCTGACACGTGAGGCCGCCGCATTGCTGTTGCAAAAAGGCCCACCAGATGATTGTACATGACAGGGCTTAGAACGACATGTTGCTCACCCATTTCTTCAACGAGAGCTTTCGCTCGCTTGGCGTCTCCCAAGTGCCTGCAGGCTTGCAGCAGATGCTCAAAAACAAAGGCGCTCACGGGCAGATCCTCCGCCTGCATCTGCCGATAGAAATCGAAAGCCTTGCGAGCATGGTCAGACGTAGTAGAGACGGCATGGATTATCTCCCCATAGGTGATGTCTGTCGGATACAGGCCACACGTCCGAAGGTCATCCAGGAGGTTCAGAGCTCGTTCTGCCTCTTGCATGATCGCACAGGCTTTGATCATAACAGTAAACAGTACCTCATCAGGCTGAATCAACTTCCAGGTCCTGGCCGCATGAAACTCCTCCCAGGCCCTCTCAATGCGCCCTTCATTCACCAGTCCGTTGATGAGCACAGTGTGGACTACCACATCGGGCTGAATTGATTCGTCCTCCATCTTTCGCAATAGCGCATATCCCGATGCAGTGTCGCCTGCACGGACATGAGCTTGTATCAATGTTGCGTACACCCTTGGGGTTGCAGAAATCATCTGTTCCCGCATCTTCAAGAAGAGCTTCCTTGCAAGATCGGCATTTTGCTGATGCGCCGCTCCGGCAAGGAGGGAAACAAAGGTCTCAGCATCAGGCGCATAGCCATGAAGCTTCATGGCATCATGCGTTTGCATGGCATCTGCCATTCGGCCTTGCAGCGCTTGCGCTCGAATGAGCTCGTTGATGTTAGCGACTGATGCCTTTCCTTCCATCACCAGTGCCTCGAAGTCCTTCTCACAGCTCTGCATCTCACGCAGCCTCGCCGCCCGCTCCGTGCCCGGATGGTGCTGCAAAGCCTCCGACAAGCTCTGCAGAAGCTCCGGGTCCACACCGGTCTGCGCATACTCGGTGGCCTTTCGCCGTAGAGCGGCGATTAGGCTGTCCTCGGGACGGCGCGAAGACCGCTGGGTCGCTCCTCCACTCTCCACCACACTTGCAGCACCCGCAGCGGCATCGTCCAACGGTGAATCCAACCTCAGTGGGCGAATGTCTTACTTTGCCGCTGCGTCGCAACGCAAGTTCTCTCAGCTCGTCTCGCAACCCTTTTCATTCGGCCAGGTCTCTCGCTGACCAACTCCGGCTGCAGCCGCAGGCCCTCGGTTTGCAGATCTGCCTCGGCAGGGCGATCTTCGCCTGCCCGCAGCAGCTTGGAGGTGGCGTTGCTTGGGGACAGCGGCTCGGACCTGCGGCGGCCACCCGGGGTCCGGCCAAGGGGATTTCTGCCGAGGTCCACAATGCCCTGGAGCTGCTCTGCGGCTTCGCCTTCATCCTGTGCGGCCTGTGCGTCTTGCGGATGGAACTCCCACTTGGGGCCCTTCTTGTTTCTTCTCTTCGCAGGCACGCGCCAAAAGGGCGTGTCCGGTGCCACATAGTCCGGAGCGGACTGCAGCTTGTCGCGCCGCTCCAAGACATCATCGATCAGCTTCCGCGATTCCACCAGCACAGACGGTGCGTCATGTGTGAGATCTTCTGCTGTCATCGGTGGGCCGAAGCGGACGAAAAACTGAGGAGTTCTGGGTAGAGCGGCAACAGGCCGTTGCGCCAGCTTCTTGGCCTGCCACAAGGGCTGCCAACCCTCCCTGCTATCAAAACTGACTGCAAAACCTCTGACACCTGTGAGCGATGATGCAAAAACAAGTGGGGGTTTCCGACAATAGGGGACCCTAATATAGCACCCTAAATAGTAGGATCCTTACTATAAGGACCCCAAAATCAGGTACCCCCCTATTTTCGGAAAGTCCCAAATCGGAAATTGGGACACCACAGGCCCGAGGATAAGCAATCGCTGTTAGCGTCCCCTCCTTTTCTGTGTGATGAGGCTCCTATTTCTCTCCTTTGCCTCTGTTGTTACTTAAGGTTCCGGACCGTTAGGAGCGGATTCTACTAAGGACGTGCCTCACAGGACTAATGCAGCCTTCCGGTGTCTAATCCAACAAGGAAGAACGCTGGCCGAATAAAGAGCGCCGATCTCTATCTTGACTTTGCTGTCTCGTGCGGACTGCAGAGTCGTTTGTGGAGCACACCCAAACCCTCTTCTCCTTCTCGTTGCTTTCACTGTTCCGTTCGAAGTGGAAGCTTGCTTCAGGAAAGGAAGGTTGCAGCCCCTGCACCTCAAGCCGCAAGACGGGCTGAGTAGGACGGCAACCCGGCAACCCGGCAACCCGAGCAGAAGCCTTTACGACGTTATCCTGAAAGTTCGGCTGCACGATTCGGATGGAAGCGTGTGATCTGGCCTGGCGCTGCCCAAACCTGGGAACTGCCGGCATCTGAGGTGAGGGCGAGGACAACTCCTCCAAGTCTGTCGAATGTCTATGCTTCTTTCCGCCTTTCTTCCTCGGGGATGCTTCCGGCGGCACCTTGAGTCTAGAAGCGCTTCTTCCATGACGACCATTCGAACAGAAGCTGCCTGCAGCGAAGGCACTGTCTGCGTTTTTTTCGGTGCCGAAGGCCCGGGCCCGGCTCTGCGATTGAGTTCTTTTGGACTCCGTGACTTTCGCAGCTCCGGGGAGGCAAATCCAAGGGATGCCGGAAGCCTGGAAGGCGGTGACCAGCGCCGCTTCGGCGGAGGAAGGAAGCTGGCCGTGGAAGATGCCCACCGCAATCCATGTTTCGACCACAGCGTGCAAAGCAACCTGACATGGCTTTCAAGGTGCGGGAACTCGGGCACCGGACGACGTCCTTATTGACGGCAAGCACCCGCCTCTGGGTCGGGTAGCGTGATGAAGCCATGGCAGCCCAACTTCATCTATCCATTCAGTATGGCATGGAGATGACTGGGAGATGCATCAAGTGGGCGGCCCACTTTAGGGTGGAATCTGTTTACGTGACCGTTAGCTTGATCTCGCGCTCGTTTCAGGCATCGAAAAAAGCTGGACACACAGCCACATCATCGACCATGGAAATGCAGCGCACACACGGAGGCTCACGACCTCGGAAGAACGTGTCGAAAGGCAGCATGGCAGACCCTGCAAAACAAGCGGACAGTTCTTCTGAAGCTCAGGCTACAGATAGCTGAAGCCGTCGGATTGAAACCACTTCCGGCAACCAACCCCTGGCCAGCATGTTCTGCCAGCTGAGATGACGCGAGTACTAACGGTTACTAACGATTGAGATAAGTTAAAACTTCACGGATAGTGGGATTGTCGAAAAACAGAGTCGCAGGCAGCTTGATACCCCGGACATCTGCTTGCAACTCATCACGGAGCATCACTGCGGCACCGCTGGAGAGGCCAACGTCACTCAGGGGCACGTCCCCTTCGATGCTCTGCCAATCCAACCCCAGCCTTGGACAGCTGGACTGCCCTGCAGTACCTGAAACCTGGTCACCTCCCCTTCCAACGCTGACCCAAGTGGCAGCTTGCCAGCAATCTCCTGGATTCTGCGCTGCAGAGGCGCATCCTCTTCTCTCTGCATTGCGCGGTTGAGAAATCCACCCTTGCATCAAGCTCTCACCTCTCTGGAACCCCTTGCACAAGTTCCGGACATCGAAAATGACATAACAGGCGGGAGCACCTGGACTGCTGGCTTCACTGGCCGTCCAGACTGCGCCTCTGTGGGGCCCTGCGACCTCGCAGATGGCTTGGCCGCGGCCTGCCTGTCCTGCTTGATTTGCTTGGCTCCACCTCGGAGAAAACTGGGAAACTCGAATTGCCAACCTGCCTAACAAGCACGTGCAGGAATCAAGGCTGCAGAAGCAGCAATCTTGAGTTTGGCCTGGCGGCAGTCTGGGCAGAAGTTGCAGTCCCATGGCAAGTGGCACCCGCACTTATGGCATTTCAGATCCACCGCCGTGGAGTCACCTCTCCAGGAATTTTTCTGCGATGTGCGAAGACCAGGGATCCGGAAACTGCCTCGATCCGAGTTCGGTGCTCGCCTGTTCTCGTCTTGCTGCCACTTCTCCTCGCAAAGCTCCAGCATAGGCTCAGGGCCCAAGGCGTAGCATGTCATGTCGGACTCAGGAGATCTGCTTGAATATCCTGCACCAGCAGTGGGGCCGTGGCTCGCGTGAGCAGCAGCTTCTTCTGCAATGAGTCACAGAGCACCCGACACTCGCCGATGATTTCCTGAGCATGACGCAACTGCTTGCAGTCTGAGCTTAACCACTGCTACCGGGTGCTACCGTGCGGCCGCCGCTTCGGTCTCGGAGATGCACATCGCCTGCTCGGCCAAGGTGTTGCCCGCGCCCACGGCCGCCTCGGTCTCCAGCACCTGCTCCGCATATCTCTTGGCGTTGAGGTACTGCCCAAGCTTCTCACTGGCAAGAGCACCGTAGTACCTGAGATTGGGACTGCCACTTCCGAGGAAGATTTCATGACTAAAAGGTGAAATGATGCATTTTGGCAGAGTCACAAAGCACTCAAGCGACAATCGGACCTGCAGGCTTGCATCTGCAACAGCTCCTCCACTGTTTGACAGCAGCTATCATGTTGGTCCATCTCGTAGCAAGCCCTAGCATAGGCCGCAAGCGTCATGGCCATCAGATCAGCCTTTCCCAGCTCCGCTGCCATTTTCATGGCCTCTTGGGCCTCTCGGAAGGCATCCCGTTGCTGACGATTGCCTCTCTCGTCTTTTGCCAGGCACGCGCGCACCACGACTAGCCTCAGTTGAATCTCCTGTTCGTGATCTCCGGCTTCGCCGAATCGTCGCCGAGCTCGGCGTGCATTCTGCCGGCTTGCGCTAAGCTTTCCCTGCTTCATCTGTGCTTGGGCGACAACGGAGAGTGCAGAGGCTGCTTCGAGCTGCTTCCCGCTCTCCTCGTAGAGGCGAGCAGACTCCTGTGCGGCAGAAACACACTCCCCGAAGCGGCGGCTCTCCAACATGACCTTGCCCCTGGCGGACAGAATCGAGGCCAGCAACGAAAGGTCTTCCTCGCACACTGCCTGCAGCCTGGTGGCAAGAGGCAGTGCCTCAGAAGCCTTTCCCAATAGACTCAGGGTCTCCACTGTGCTGCCCAACAGCTCTACCGCCAACTGCAAGCCATCACGTGCATCAGCCAGCCCGAAGGCTGTCTGCATAGCAAGGAGGCATGTCTTTTTGGCACCCTCTTGGCCCGAAAGTGGGGCCTTTGCCAGCTTCCGTCGCGCTGCTTGCAACACAAGCAACACTGCCCTTGCCTCTGCTTGCAGGTCACTGCAGCTGCGAGACAAGTTCGCCGCCCGCTCTGCTGCAGCGATGGCACCCGACTCGGAATCAAGATCGCCGGCCGCGAGCTGAACTGAAGCAACGAGCCTGGAGGCATAAGCCTGAACCGTCAAAGTGGAATCGACCTGTGCCGATCGCAGAAGTTCTCGTGCCAGGCGCTGGGCATGGCCCGGGTTCTCCAACTCGACATGTGCAGCGCAAGCCAGCCGTGTTGCCTCAAGCTGACGATGACTGCCAGCACCCTGCTCCTGTAAAATGTCGAGCAGCTCTTGTGCGTGCTCCAAACAGGAGGCTGGTGCTCCCTTCTGCAAATGCCACGAAGCCACCGCCAGCCGCACCTCGACTTCCAGCTCCGGATCGCTTCCGTCCTGAGAAGCCTCAAGCGCCTTCTCGGCTGTTGGCTGCCACTCTCCATCCTCAACGAAGGCAGCCGCTGCCATGGCCAACCACGCTTTCGCCTTGCCCCGCGTGTCGCCAGACAAGTCCGCAATCTGAAAGGCCAGCGCAGAAGCTTTCTTCGATAGCCTCAAGTGTTCGGAGTCGGAGTTCTCTTCCCGACATTGGCAGACATGAAGCTTGGCAAGCCACACGCAGGACTCGGCTCGGTGTACAGCATCACCGGTGGCCAGAAAAGTCTCGTGAGCCTTCTCCGTGGCTGCTATCGCTTCGCTGCACAAGATGCTCGAGGGCTCAGACCTACAAGCAGCCTCTGCAAATGCCAGCAGCATCTTTGCCTCTGCCAGTTCCGTTCCCTGCTGACGGCCTCTGGAGTTGTGGCACACGTCCACGCCAGCCCGGGCGAGTTCCACCACATCGTGATCCAGGAGCGCACACTTGGCCGACACCAGGCTGCGCAACGCGTCAGCTGCCTTGTTCAAGTCGCCCACTTGCCGGAAGCTATCCCAAGCGGCCGACGACAGCTCCAGCGCTCTGTGGTCGTCAAAAACCGCATCTCCACTGCCGGTGGCCATGGCTCTCAAGTCATGGGGTCAATGGTGCGCTATGTCTTCGGGGATGTCATCAGGGAATCCCGCAATGCATCGCTCTCACGACCCTTGCCTGACAGTCTGAACATTCAAGAATCAGGGCCGTCTGCTCTGTCGGTGGGGCAGGCAGGGGACATCACACTGGATGAGCGTAGTGAGGAGCTGAGCTCGGGAGGTGAGAGTTGTTTGCATGTCATGTAGCTTCTGGGATGCCTCAACCCAAACTTGCATTGGCAACGGACATTTTTCTATGTTGAATACTGCTGAATGCGAGAACATTATCCAGACTGTTGGATCGGACAACGATTGCTATCGCCTCCTAGTGCTATCTCTTCTGCTCAAAATGGCACATGCATTCACCTCAAACTACATGCAGCCCTAACTTCTGACTGATGACTCTACGTTCGTCTGCGAGACTGAAAGACATCTATGTCCAAGCAGCTTGCCCGAAGAGATCATACGATTCTACGACGTGCTTCAGCAATCATCATTCCCCCCGAGTCTTCAATGCAATCCGTTCCAATCTGCCGTCCGCGCTGTCATCACCAAAACTTGCTTTCTCGTGCTGGCAGTGGCAACAGCAGGAGCATGCAGAAGGGCTGCCTGAAGGCAAGCAAAGAAAGCGCAACAGGCTCTCGATGACCAGGGCAGCACTCCATCTTTGACTGCATCAGGCAGGCGTAGTCACAGTCTGCATTGGACTGCGGGCGAAGTCGTTAGCGTCTCCTGTGCACAACTCCTTCGGAGAGTGCCTTGCGAGTCAAGAGAAAAGAGCTTCACTTTGAGTCCTCATCCTCGCACAAGTAGACTTCTTGACTTCGTCCGGGCAAGAAGGCAGAGAAACCCATTCAACAGAGAAACAGCGCAAGCGGGAACGACAAAGTCCTCGTCCATCTCCTCTTCTTCTTCCTCCTCCTCTTCGTCAGTTTCGTCAGGAGACGGCACGCGCGGCAGCTGGTTCGGACCTGCCGGGGCATCCACAGTGAACGACTTACCAGACCGTCAGTGGGTCACAGTGGCTCCCGGGGCCCCGGGCCCTGGCGAGCTGGCATCTTCTCAGCTGCCTGACAAGAAGTTCACCGACGCCAGGCCTGGCCTGGTCCGGGAGCTCCAAAGGCCCAAGGCCTCTCGCAGATAGGTGCTGAGGGGCTGATTCCTGTTGGCACGACAGGCGGCCCTTGGTTGCAACCAAGATGGGATCGGGGCATGTGATGATCAGGCATCAAGACAGTGCTTAGAGTCTCAGAGCTCGGCTGCACCTTGCTCCAACCCTTCATGGCGGTGAACCTCGCGCTCGAAGCATTATCTCATGAAGACTTGTCAGCAGTGTCAATGAAAGAATGCCGCGAGCATGGCATGTCTGCTGCATCTGCCAGTCCGGTCTGAATCAGCCTTTTTTGCCGCCGAAAGCTGGACTGAAGAGCAGTGTCGAGCGGTAAGATTCAACCCACACACATCCGTTTGCAGCGTCGCTTCCGTTTCGTGGTACGTTGGGTTTGTTCATCCTCCGTGGACGTGCAGCGGCGTTTTTTCTGTCTCCTGCTGGGCGAGCGGTCATGGCTGACAGAAGCTCTCGAGTGCCAAGCTCCGCGTCGGTACACTTGCTGCACCAATTCGCGAAGCCCTTTCTTGCCACTGGCGGACTTCTGCATCGCAATGCGCTTTGCGGGATTCGACAGCACCAGGCAAACACCGCCCGCCTTCAGAACTGAAAGACGAAACTTGTCAACATCCATCTTCTTCCTGGCACTGACGGCATCGCAGTCGAGGAGAACATCCACATGTTCACCAGTCCGTGCTACCCAACTCTGGAAGTCGTTTGCTGTCAGAAAGCTGCGAATGAGGCAAGGTCCCCCTTTGTGAGCTTGGCCCTGGTCCCACGCACCCTCCTGAAACCACCCAGCGAAAAGCCGCTGTGCCCGCACCGCGCTGGCACGATGCTTCGCGCCGCCGTAGGCGATATCAATTAGGTGAATGGCACGGACATGCACACCCTCCTTCTGTATAAGGTGCTCAAGCAGCTCCCAATCAAAAAGGAGCTGGCCACTCCCAAGTGAACAGTAAACGAGACCAGCTTTGGAGCAGCATGTCTTGATATGCTCCACACAGAACTTCAAGAAGTCGGGTCGAACAGCTGAGTATTTTCCCAAACGATAGTTTCCACATTTCCGATCACCGCATTCACCCAAGTCCTTGATGATGCACTCGTGACCACTAGGCAAAAATCGACGTGGTCGCACATAGCCATGCCGTCGCTCGAACTGCAGGCACGATTTCTCCAAGGCTTCACGGAGAAAGCGTCGGGAGTTGTCGCTGACGAGACTGGGACGAACCAGGGTTCCTGCATCCGAGCTGTGAGAAGTGGACGAGATATTGGATGAGCTCGTCGACATGGCATTGTGAATGGTGGGCTATAACAGTTGGAAACGTGACCAATTCATACATTCCATATCAGTTATCATCTGATCACTCTGCGGGTGGGCCTGTCGTAACACAGAAAATGCAACCCAGCTACAGTTGGATTTGCATTTCACGGAAGAAAGACCGAGCATTGCATGCTACTTGTACCGTGACAGACTGGCTGCGGCATCAGTCCAAAAACAGGTGAAATCGACACGAATACGCAGGTCGCAACAACATGTTGAACATGGCGCACTTCGCATGGGAGCTTACGCCGCCATGGAGGGGCCAGCCGCGGATCCTGCAAACGACAGTCTTCTCAGCAAAGCCGTTGCAGAGACCCTGCTCTGCGGCTCTTTGGAGCCTACCGAGTCCTGGTGCACAGCCTGCTGATCACCAGCACCAAAGCCTTCGCAAACGCGAGAGTCCAAAGGAGCTGAAACAGCTCCATGACGCCTCCACATCGCTGTCGGAGAAGCAGATGAAGTCGAAGGAGCGGGCAGGAGTCTGCCTTGCCGGCACATGCTCACTTTGTGATGGAACCAACAAGAGCACTTGGCTAAGGTGAGCACAGGGAGAAACAATGATGCGGGGACACCTGGTCCGGGAAGAGCCAGGTCGCCTTCAAAAAAAAGCCGCATTCGAAGCCTCTACAGTGTACTACTGAAATCCCGTGTCCCGAAGGTTTCAGCTGATATGGAAGTGTCCGGTGCAAGGCGAAACGGAACCCTGTCCCCCAAAAGCCGGGAAAAAAGATTGAACCGCCCCAAAACAAACACAGAAAATGAAGTGCCCACGCTGGTCCTATACGTCTCCACTTTCTCTCTAGGGAGCAAGCTCGCGCAGCGAAGGCATATCCCAAACTCATGACCTCACGGAGTTTCAACGAGCCGGAGAGGAGCCATGCAATTTGAGCCAGGCCTGTGACAGGTCGCAGGAGCACTTCTCCGACCATTCCCTGTACGGCGCCTGCCCAGCTCCCGCTTCAAATGTGAAGTGCCCACGCCGCCCACCCGTGACGCGTCCGAACCTTGGACCATTGCAGCTTGACCTGGTTCACTGCTATGCCTGTCGCAGCGATCGGCATCAGCATCTGATCAGCCGCGCTTCTCCTGTCCACCTTGCATGCCGAGACCCCGTCCTCGTACAGTCTTCACATCACAGATGACCTTAAGCTTCCGCCTTGCTGTTTGAACAATTTTGACGAGCTTTGCCATTTAAGGGGAAGCAAGAGAATCTCAAAGGCGTCTGGCTTCTCTCGTCTGTTTTTCTGGTCCTTGCGAATGCGCACATCCCAAGCCTTTCGCAGTATGAAGCAGCACAGCAGGAAACCAAGTTCGACACAATCTTGTCCACTTCAATGCCAACCATGGCCTGTCTTCATACAACCGTTTTGAAAATCTGACACCGCTTTTGGCAAACGCTTTTGCCGAACAGAGTTCCAAGCTTTCGTAACCTGAATTCCTGCTTACTCGGAGTATCATGAAGACGGGAACCACAACCTGGCATCAGCACTTGACCGTTGCCTGCGCCATCTGCCTGATAATGTTTGGGCTGGTGACGAGTCCGTGGCCTCGCTGGAATTTCAGGGGTGCCCCTCTCTCTCGCAAGCAGCAAATGGCAAGATGGAAAAGGCTTCGACGCTCCATCATCGTTTTCTTCCTCTCTTCGGCCTGCTTCGCCTTGAGTCCCGAGTTGCAGGACATCAAACGACCCAATCCAGACCCGCACACCCAGTGGCTCTCCTGCGCCTCTCTTCGACGATCCTCCTGTCAGGCGATGAGGCTCAGGTTGGTGCCTTGAATCCTTTCGACTTGGCGGTTCTCCTCCTGCTTTCTTGCGTCATCTGCCTTTCACTGGTCAGCGTCAACATACCAGAAGCAACTCATCTCACGATCAGCTGTGCCTGGCGAAACTCACGCACAGTTCTGGCTGCTTCCCGATGGTTCCTGGAACCGTGCAAACATACCCAGGAACTCCTCTCAAATCGAGTCATGAGCCCATGACGCGTGGAGGTTGTGCAGCTGCTCTTGCAGTCGGTGGGCATCTTGCTTCCATTGCTCCTGAACAAGTTAGCCTGGAACGAAGTGACACTTCTGGTTGCTCCTGCCGGCCTCCCCAGCCGAACTCATGTCACGTGCGTGACCTTCCCAATCCGATTCAGGAGAGATGCTGCGCAACATGCTGCGTAGACCTACACTTCGTGCCTAGGACACTCTTCAGCTCGCCGGAGCATTGCAGGGAGAGTGCAGCCACCTGCTCCGCCTTCCGGGGTGCCAAAGATCAAGAAGTTTCGGTGAACTTCAGCGGGGCAGCACTGCTGGACAACACTGAAAGGGACCAAACGTTTCAGGCTCCGTGAAATGCTGAGAATGCATGCCTGCGCCCAGCTGTCGGGAAGTTTCTCAATTCGGTCGCACCCCGTCTCTGGACACAGGGCATCGGGAAGCGAGAGCCAAGCAAGCCAAGACATTTTTGCTGAGATTAGTAATGCACCAGCCAGAAGACCAGGTAGAGAGACGTTCAACTCGTTTCCTGCAGAGGCACTCCCACCAAGTCTGACTACAACCCTCGTCCTGTGAGGTCTGGTCGCAAGGATACTACTGGCCAACTTATAGGAAGCATGTAACTCCTGAAGTCCAAAAGATACTGGCATGGTCGGCTGTTATCATGGGCCCTCTAAGATCGCCCATGACAGAATCATCGCAGCATGCACTCCAAGCCAGTGCTCCACACCCGGATTGAGTCTGAGTGCTGTTGCAGAGCCTCGGGAGCATGCCAACACTTGGGTCCGCCGTTAAGTTCGGTTAGGCTGAGCGACGCAGGGTTGGGGTGCCGCAACTTGAGGTCCTTTCGAGATTTTCGAGTCTCTCGGGTCCCTTCTAACATCTTCTGACCGATGCTGAAATCTGAAACCAAATTATGACATCAATCGCTGTGCTTGGGGACTTTCTTCTGGCTGGCATCATCCCGCTAAGTCCGCTAAGCTCAAGCGGAACATCTTTGTACCAGCCTCCACGATATCCTGCTGCATCTCTTGCTGCTGGGCACGAACTCGCTGTGACAACCTGGGAACGTCTGCTGAGAGCTGGCCCACAAGGAAACGTGCGAAGAGCAGGGAGCCCCAAGGGGGCCCTGCTCCTGGTATCGGCGAGTCTGCTCCACGAAATTCTCCTCAACAAAAACTCACGGGCCTCGAAAGAAACGAATCCGAAGCGTCGTCAAGGCCTGAAGCTCCGTTACCATGGAGAAAGCATCTTGCCTGTCAAAAAACCGAAGTGAAGCGACCCTGACTGCGCATACGTATGGCACTTCAACCGTCTGCCGAAGTGAAAGTCCCCGGCGCCAACCGCACAAATGCCTGCAAGTTTCTCTCCTGGAAAGTCACCACAACAGTCTTGCAGTCGGCAATCACAGATCTTGAACCTTGTCGTTGTGCTTTTGCCGGTACTGCTGCAGATCTTCCCACACCTGCCGCTCACAGCAAGCTGACGAATAGCGAGATGGCACGAGCTGCCTTCTGATGCTCTCGTTGCAACATCTCCTTCAGCCGAGCGCAGTGGAAAGATCAAGGCTTGCGGCTGACGGCAGCTTGCGGCTTGCGTCGTCACTTGCCCTCCTGGCGGGCAGTCAAGGCCGTCTCCCTCTCTTCCGCCTGGCTGTGAAGCTGCAACCTCAGAAGCACATGGAAAAGCCCTTTCGCACATGCCTTATCTCTTCTCTGAAGCGTCTCTCGGCCCTTTCTGCACCGCCTGCTCAGCTCGAGCTGGAACGCTTCCTCCTAACTTTCTTCTTCTTCTCACTTGGATCCTTGGAGTTCCGATTCTTGTGCCTTGTATTCCTTGCATGCTTTGATGCAGAGGAGCTGGGTCGACGCTGTCTCCTCTTCGGCTTACCGGATCGTCGGCTCCGCGAGCGCTTCGCCTTGGAACGCTTTCGATCGCTGGACGTCGTCCTGCCCCGCTTCGGCTTCTTCGCTTTTCCATTCTTCTGCTCCTCTCGATAATCCTCGCGCTCCCACACGCGCTCTTTCTCCTTCAGCTGCTGCAACTTCTGCCGAATCTGCAACCAGCCATGGTGCATCTTGCCGTTGAGATGGGAAGCACGCTCGTGCCAATCTGGATTGTCCGCTGCTTGCGAAGCGTAGCGAACACCACAGACCTCACAAACCTCTTCACCAGGGAACTCAAATCGGTAGCGCTTCTGATAATCATTCAGCTCCTGCTCCACCTCTTTAGCCTGCCGGGTCAGCTCCTCACTTCGGCTGAGAGACTCATCAGCCTTCTCCTCAGCCTCCTTCACCAATTTCTGGTGCTCCTTCTGCAAGGCATCGTACTTCTCTTGAACGTCGGGTGGCATTCGCGTGGTTACGCCTCCCGAACCTTTTGGCCTGCATTTAATCTTCTCCCGACCAATGAACATGTCGCAGTCACGTGTGACTCGTTCCAGGTACTTCAGAAACTGCTCCTCGAACGCGCGCCGATATTTCGCAACCTCGGGATGGGCCTCAAACGTGTCACGGAGAACCTCCGAGTGGATCTTATTGCAGGGAGGCATCTTGCGTCGGGATGTGGTGAACCAGTCGTGAGGGCAGAAACCAACCAAAAAGTTCTTGCAAACCTCAGCCGAGCACAGCCGATCGTTTACCAACCGCATGCCAAGAACTCCTTCAATCTAAGCCCGGCACCTTTTCGTCTGCAAAGTCTGGTGTCTCGGTGTCCTTGCTGGCCTGGTCCTGGTTGCGGCTGGGGCCCATGAGGGCATCCAGCATTGCCCGAGCTTCCTCCATGGCTTCACAGCCAACTCGAGGACCGACAATGTTCTACTAGTGAAAACAACAGCATTCGCATTATTGTTCATTTCTTCATGGCTGTTTCCAACATGCCCTGGATGGGAAAAATGGACCTGCCGATGACCTCTTGGGTTGGTCGAAGTTAACCGCCAGTACATGTTGCAAACTGCTTGCTTACGCTGGCCTGAAAGGATGGCATCAGTGGACATGAACGGGACTGGCAAAATGGATTCAACATGGCATCTCGCTAGGTGTGCGACTCCAACCTCTGGCGATGCTCTTGTTCCTGGCCTATGCAGCGACATCACGTGAGCTTTCCACTACCGGTCCGGGATAAGTTCCAGGCTGTGCAAATCTTGAAAGCGGCCTCGTTCAGCAGTGCCTGAGGAACTCTAACGGACAGCGAAAATTTCAAACTACTTGGACACATGAATGATTCTTCGTATGCACGTTGAGTTCGTCGCTTTGCTTGTGTTCTTCCTGCAACTTGATATGGGCCTGGTGCAACCTCGGCGGAAACAACGCCAATCGCCATACAACGACAACATCTCTACAGGAATGCTCGGAACCTGGCTGTTCCCTGTCCGAGTGGAGCTGCATCATCACCTTGCTACAGGCTATGGCAATGTGGCCAATCCAATAAACTAACAGGAGGCCAAAGTTGGGAACTGAAATGTGCATCACCATGTAAGCAACAGACCTGTTGCGATGTTTCCCTGTGGGCTCGGAGGCCTCACGATGCCAACCCGAACAAACGGTCCCGGAAGCTCCTCTGCATTTCACAGATGATTATCGTCGGCCGAACAACCCCGCATCCAAGTTCTGGGCCGTCGTTTTCATGCCGAAGGGTTTCCAACTCCGCCATACATGCGCTGAGCCTTGATCTGGCAGTGGATGTCAAAGTTCAGCCATTCAACTTTCATCGATTGAGGGAGAAACCTCCTCCGCAAGTCCGAGTTTTCGGCAACATGATCAACATTCGTTCCTTGGCATCGTTGTCGTGCGGTTGGAATGAAACGTGGCAAGATGTGTGCCACTGCGAAAACCCCACGCTGTCATGCAGGGGAAGGCACCAGGCACACCTGCACGTTCAAACCTCGGAACTGAAACTGCATCGGTCGAATTTCCTAACCTTGCATGCTTAGATGTTCAAGATTATCCCTCTCGCTTGGCGAGATGGCGTATAATTGCATCAGGGGGTTTGCGAACTTCCGAGATGGCTTGGTGCCGCGCGCTGCGCAGCGCTGTTGGGCTTGGGCTAACCTCGTCAAACCATGTTGCTGAGAGAAACATTGCAACACCTTGCGACTGCTTGCGCATGGATTTGTCTCTTACATTCCACGGAACATGGAGTGCAGGGGGAATCGCGATTCGCAAGTCTCCCAAAGATGAGGTTTCTCGAAATCCGATCCAGCACACGCGCAAAATCCCTCACAACGCACAGCCCGACAAGGTACCAACACCCTTTCTCTTTCTGCTTGTTTGCTCCAAGCGCAAGGCATAAGGTACGCCCCCCGGCCCCCACGAGATCCCACAAGGGGCCCTGAACGTCCGCGTCCTGCCCCACCAAGCATCGTCGTGAAACGGCGCACATTCCAGCAAAGCAAAAGAACTACACATGATGACCAAATCACCTGGACAGCGTCTGCTGGTGGGCCTTATTGTGCAGAGAACATCCGGCACACGAATCTACCCATAGCGACGCCCACGCAGGCGCTCCGGCTGGTAGCACAGGAAAAAACCTGGTAGGAGCCACGAACCCGAATGCAGTTG